TCCCTTCCCTTCCAGTCCCGGGGGGGTTGTTGTCCGAGTGAGGTTTCTCTTTCGGTCTGTCCACAGGAGAGGGGCTGCGAGCCGCTTTCGCTGGCCCGTTATTTAAGGCGCCTCGGCGCGTCTCGGCGGTGGAGAGGCGAGCGTGGATGCTGGACAGGAGAAAACCATCCGCCTTCTGAACCAGAGTCCTGGTAAGACAGGCAGGCGGGAGGCATTTTTCCAAAGAGGAATCATCGCAGTAAAAATAATGTTAGTGTATTAGTACTAACTATAATTTTATTACTAAAGAGTAGTAGTACTAATGGCAATAATAGCAGCAGCAAGAAGAGCAATTCTAGACATAGAGTCTCCCTGTGCACGTTTACTCGGGAGTAAGTTCCCGTGGAAATCAACGGTCTTCTCCCCATCCCCGAGTCCACGTGCATAGGATCGGCGGGAGCGCCAGGTAGGTAGGTACGCCTAATGGGTGGAGGAAGCGCCCAGGATCGGTTTGCACGTGGTGGCGGAGGCAAGCTGAAGTTCAGAGCCCCCATGCCTAGGATCGGGGCGGTCCCGGGGCTTCCGCGGATTTTCCAGGCTGATCAGAAAACGAAAGAAGCGGAGCTCCCCGGTCCCAGATGGAGGCGCTGATTTTTGCTTTCGGGGAGTTCAGCCTCGCTGACGGACTTCTCTGGAGATGAAGTCCACGAATGTCGATCGGGGCCGCCGGGGCAGCCCGATCCGATGCAGGTTTACTGGGCAGTAAGGGAGGAAATGGAATTCGCCCTGGGTTGGGTGGGGGGCTGAGCCCAAGATTGCGCCTCCTAGAAGTGATGTCGCCCTATTGTCCCAGGGGGCTTACTCCGAGGTCGGCGGGTGCGGGACAGCATCCTTTCCGCGGCTGATCATTCGGTGCGTTTGTGTGTCCGCGCGTGCGAAGTCCGATGCAGGTTTACTGGGCAGTAAGGGAGGAAATGGAATTCGCCCTGGGTTGGGTGGGGGGCTGAGCCCAAGATTGCGCCTCCTAGAAGTGATGTCGCCCTATTGTCCCAGGGGGCTTACTCCGAGGTCGGCGGGTGCGGGACAGCATCCTTTCCGCGGCTGATCATTCGGTGCGTTTGTGTGTCCGCGCGTGCGAAGTCCGCTGTT